TCTGTGTGTTGGTTACCAGCAGGGCATGCCCTCTGCTTATTGTTCATGGGAACATGCTCAAGGAATTCTGCAGGAAGGCCCCCATCCAGGATGTTACTGGAAGACCTGCTTGGCGGAATTTGTACAAACAAAGTATGACCCTGCCAGCTCAGCCAAAACTCCTGCATCATGCTGGGAGGGCTGTTTGACCCTAGTGGAAAAGACTGCTGTCTTCATCACCCAGCCAAGAAGCTGCTACGGGGTGGGTCTCCAGCTTCCCTCTCTCTGCCCAGGGGTTTCCGCATAGTCTCCCTCTGCTTAGATATGGTGTGCACATTGCTGTCTATACAAAATACAGGCCCAGTCAGATCTCCTTTAGCTTTTGAGCTCTTTTGTGGTGTTTCACATTGTTTGTAAAATAATTTGCTAGAATTCCTCCCTTAAAAATAATTATGAGTCAAGCAGTGGTGGTGGCACACACCTTTAATCCCAGAGGAATGGAGACTGGTGGATCTCTGAGTTCGAGGCCAGCATGGTCTACAGAACAAGTTCCAGGACAGCCAGGGCTGTACAAAGAAACCCTGTCTCAAAAAACAAAATCAAAAAACAAACAAATTGATAAAATACACATTAAAAATTGTCAGTTTGTGTCAATGCTTTTCATCTTATAAAGCTGAAACTGTGTATATCAAAAAGTTACACACACACACACGAGATCCCTGGAAACCATTCTGCTTTCAGCCTCTGACTACTTTAGGAATCTTATAGAGATGGAGTCATGCAGTGTGTGTCTGTCTGAGCTGATTTTATTTCACTTGGGTTTATCAATGTATGCATGTATCAGAATTACATTCCTCTTGAAGGCTGGCTAACAGTTCATTGCATATGACTTAGTATGACACTGTGTGGTTTTGCACCTGTCAGCCCTGCCAACCTCCTCACTTTGGGTGTCCTTACCTCCTGCTCTCTCCACTCTAGTCATAATACCTTTTTTCAGTGTCTGGGGAATGACTAGGCATGCTTCTCTGTAGTGTGTGTCAGCTAGCACAGGATCTGGTGGCATGCAGCAGAAGGGGCTCAGCCGTTGCTTGAGAAGCAAATGGGCACAGTGTAGAGCGGACAGTCAGGCGCCTGGAACACAACCTTGAGTTCACTCCCAGAGCCTCATGACTGTGAGCTGCAGATGATCTGATGTATTAATCACTGGACTGGAAAGGGATTAAGATATTTCCATAATATAATGTGGTATGTTTCTTTTCTAAAACAGATGTGCTCTTGTTGCTTCATGAGGAAGCAATTAAATGTGTTTGATTAAGACATCCATAAACACTCTCATGTATTTGAGGCTACTTTATGCTGCCGTCTCTCTCAGTACTTTCTCTCTGTAGTATCTGCTTCTCTGAACCAGTCTCTGTGATGTCATTTTTTGTCCTCTTTGATGAAGTAGCTTTCTCATGGATGACTGTCTTCAGGGTACTGTTGCCCTAGGTGTTTGCTCTTGTATTTACTGTGCAGTACAACTCAGTATCCACCAGTGCAGCTGCCCTTCTTCCTGTTGACCCTTCCTGTGCCCAATATCCAGCTTTTCTCACCTTTCCCCATTCTTACTGCATTTCCCTCTTCTTTTCCTAATATGTTTTTTGACAATTGGCTGTGACTGTCAATCCTAAAGCATGTTTTTTTTTTGAAAATGTCAGTAATAGTTATACACTGTTACACTTAGAAACTGCTGTTTGTGGTAATAACATTTTTGTAAAATAATACATTGTATTAAGGCTACCTTACATGTAATGATTTCATTTTTTATATAACCTTTTATTCTTGAGGCTTTTCGAGTCCCAATTTATGCTTCTATAAAATGTGTGTGTTTTTCCATTTGAAATATAAACAAAGCAGTGAGAAGCTGGTTAACTTTCTTTATTAAAGGTTTTTCAACAGTGGGATACCTATTGCAAATTCTGTATGAAACACAAGATTGAAGTACTTTAAGAAGGTCTTTTTGGAGAGGTTTAAAAGGTTTCTTCCAGCCTTAGCTTCGTTTCTTTTCTGCTCCTCCTAGTATTTCAGCAGGATTAGGTTTTTTGAATCAGTGGATCAAGTTTTAATTTTCCTGTTCCTTCTTTATACTGACATATGCTTTGGCAAAACAAAAAAGGGACCTAAACATGTCAGCATGATTTTCATTCAGTGAATAAAAGTAACAAGATCAGATCCAAATCCCTAAACTCCTGACATGGTGGTTTTGTCCTTTTCAGTCCCAAGCTTCGTATTACGACTTTGAAAGCTTTCTGCCTGGAAGCAAAAGTTCATGATTTATTTGAAATAGATTACAAGGATACAGGCCAGAAAGATCTAGGTTTGAATCCCAGTCTTGTCACTCAAACCTGTGGGCCGGTCACTTAACATCACTGAGACTCAGTTTTTTGCTTAGGAAAAATGGGACTCTTAATTTGAGGAGGGGTTTGGAGGTGCTTAGTGATCACATAATTTGACTGTCTGCTTTGTCTTTAGAGACTGCCTTTATTTAAATTCTTTTGGTCATGGAAGAAAACAATATGTAGATGCCACGAAATATTTACCATGTGTCCTCCCTCGCCAGCACACTGAGCATGTACCCAGAACTTGGGAGGGTTCTGCCATTGAATCACTACTACTGTGCCTCGAACTTGGGACTGTGCTTGCTTAGCTCATCCAGGATTGTTGATCTCAGGGGCAGAGGAGTTTGTTATAAAATCAGTCAATGACTTTTGAGACAAGCCATTCTGGGTTTGACTTCAAATAATATTCCAAATTTAGGCTGGGCCTGGCAGCATATGTCTGTAATCGTAGCACTCGGGAGATTGTGTGTGACATAGTGAGACCCTGTCTCAGAGATCTCCAAATAGCAACAAAGATACCACATTTGGTTGGACCTGATTTTCTTCACCTATAAAAATGGGGTTTGTGGTGGCTAGTGTTATTTGACTTGACACAGAATCATCAGAGAGGAGAGAGCCTCAATTGAAAAAAATGCCTCCGGAAGATCAGACTATAGGCAAGCCTGGGACATTGATAGAGGAGGGCCCAGTCCATTGGGGATAGCTCTATCCTTGAACTTGTGGTCCTGGGTTTCATAAGAAGGCAGGCTGAGGAAGCCAGTAAGCAGCACCCTCCATAGTGTCTTTATTAGCTCCTGCCTACAGGTTCCTATGGTTTGAGTTCCTGTCCTGACTTCCTTCAGTGATGAATAGTGATGATGAAGTATAAGCCAAATAAGCCCTTTCCTCCCAAGTTACTTTTGTTTGTGGTGTTTCATCACAGCAATAGTAACCTCACTAGGACAGGTTCATGATCTAGTAAGACCATCCAGGATATAGCTTTCAAGCCTTCATCTCTTGTTACTCCTTTTATTGTTATCTGCTCTTCTGGTTCCTCAAATGAAACACCTCAAAGCTTTTACACATGCTTTTTCTTGGAAATCCTGTTTGCCCTGCCAGCACTAGAAACTTGAACTTAATCTTCAGATCTAGTTAGGATAGTGTAAATTATGCTGCAGTGACAAGCAGTCTCCTATCTCTATGGTTTAGAACACTTCACCATGGATGATAACAATAGACATGTATTTCTCAAACTACATATTAGGTACTCTTCTTTATAATCATCTTGGGCTGATGGACACTCTATCTCAGCTTGTACAGAGAAACAAATGTGACCTGGAAGCTTCTGCCCTGAGCTGATGCCCAACATTTTTACACACATTTTCTTAAATCATGCAAGTTGTGTAGTGTAATTTTAGGGTTGGAACATGCATTCCTGCTTGTGCTTATGAGCAAGACACCCAGAGCAGTGGTGAGTTGACCTAGTGACCTGACACATTTATTTAGATGTCATTTCTCTGGGACAGGTCTGTTGAGCTGCTCCTCTGTGCCCCCCTTTCTTTTTTACTTTGATCACGACAGCACTTCTCACACTCTGATGAATGTCTTCTTGCCTTTCTCTTTAGCTAAATTCTGTAGGAGCGGGATGAAGAGCAATAGCTTCATCCAAATTCATTATCTCCGTTCTTAGCACTCAGTGTTTACAAGATGGAGAAAGGAAGGCAGGACATTAATGCTGGGCTGTGTTGCTAGGTTGTTATGATGATTAAATGTAAAATAGTAATGACTGTGTGTGGTAAAATGCCTTTCTTAATGGTTCACGCTCGTTGTGATGATGAAGATGCTGACAATAAAAACCGACATTTATCTGAATGGTGCACGCCTTTAATCCCAGCACTCAGGACGCAGTGGCAGGTGGACTCAGGATGCAGTAGCAGCCAGAACCACGCATGCAAGCACATGCAAGCAAAACAAAACCAGACTGATAGCATTCACCAAGCCCTGATAGGTTGCTGAATACTTTCAAAGGTGTTTCTTGAGTCAACTGGTGCTATGTTTGTTATGTGTTTCAGGAGACTCATGCTCTATCTTGGGTTTGAGGTGATTCTTAACTATTTAGTCATAGTAATCAGGATGGTGAAGGTTAGTTTTGAGGTGATTCCTGAGTGTTATAATAATCAGGAGCTGAAAGTTGAGTGATGTAGAAGTTTAGCAATAGCATTATTTCTTTAGTGTCCCTCATTTGCATTGCTGTGGAATGGAAAAGAACATTTTAGAGGAAGGGAAAGCTAATTGTGGCTAATTGGTTCCTTTTATTGAACATTTCAAATGTGTCAGGGTCAATGGTAAATGCTCATTTAATCCGTCCCACCTGTTGGGTTCCTGGTAGACAGCTGAGGTTTTGAGAAGACATGTCTGCATCTTGTAAGTAGCTCGGCTGAGTGTTGACTCTGGTTCCGTAATGTCTCTTACTTGGATTTACCAGATAACTCAATGGGAACTAAGCATGTGCATTGGCATCTGTCAGGAGTGTGAAGATTGTCAGCTAACAGATCAAAGCTGTTGAGCTAGTGAACAGAATGGTGTTAAATTCTTAACTGGTGGTCAGCATCTTACAGAAAAAATAGTTTTGTTCAATTTTTGTGTGTGTGTACTTTTTTTCAGAGTAACCAGAGAACACAGAGAAATGCTGGTAAAACTGGCCAAACAGAGTACCAACAAGGCCAAAGAAAATTTACGGAAGGTTCGCACTAATGCAATGAATAAGCTGAAGAAATCAAAGGACAAAGCCTCGGAGGACACCATCAGGCTCGTAGAGAAACAGGTACTGTTGCCAATAGATGTAGTGTTTCTGTGTCTGACCCAGGGAATCTGTGTACTCCTATCTGAGGCAGGGACAACAAAACAGAATGCCTCTGGTCATTTCATTTACACGATCAACACTAAGTCCCTGTTCTAAGTCTAGCTTTGTAGACCCCAGAAGGATGCACAGGAGAGGAGAAGAGGCTGTTGATCCTAGGATGTGTGCTAAGCTCTGTGCTGGACACTTTACTTCATTTCCCCCATCACTACAAAACCGAGTTAGAGGCTGGAAGAACAGCCAAGTGCCTAGCATCTACAAGGCCTTGCATTCAGTCCCCACCGCTGAAACAGCAGCAGGATTGTAAGAGGAGAGTGAGGAGACCTGGTTGGGGAAGTTTGGGAACTTGTTCAAGCTGTTGCTGATAGTGGTAGAGAAGGGATCCAGACCTAGGGATGCCTGCCTTGCTGTCTAGCTTTCTGAGTGTGGAGGAGTGAGTTGCTGTGTTCTCTTTGTGCCCTGGAGTGCAGTAGTAAAAGGTGACTGATGAAAACATGGTTTTTACACTTGAGCACATACATGTGCACTTGTCTCCACCCCCAGGCAAGTATCTGAGGCCTGCTCCCAGATACTAAGTTGGTGAATCTGGAGTGGTGCCGGGAATTTTTTAGTGCTTCCCAGGCAGCTCTTATCCAGTAACTTTCTTGAAAGGTCTCATTTTTCAAACAATGAGATCACATGTGTGCCTAGGAAAAGTAACCATGGTAGCCAGGTCGAGAATACTGCAAGAGGCAATATCAGAGGCAAGATGGGGAATTTATCAGGACTTAGGAAAGGAAATGAGCAATGCCATACAAAGTGTTTGATAGGCCTCAGAGCTGCTGTGTTCACAATGAAAGCATCATTTTAGGAAAGCTGGAAAAAGATGGGGTATGACTGGGGCATAAAGAAGACGCAAGCAGAGCAGGAGCGCTGTTAGGGGCCTGGGGGAGGTGTGGAGTGAATCACTGCCCTCATTTTGAACCAGCAGTTAGCGTTCTGGCTGTAGGTCAGCCAGCAATCACCTAGGGGAATTTTGGTTCCTGGGCATCGTTCCTACATCTTCTGATTTAGTGTATTTTCTAGAAATGGTGTTTTTAAAAGATTTTTTTATATTATGTATATGTGTGTGTTTTTGTGGGGGATATACAAGTGAGTGCAAGTGCCCACAAAATCCAGAAGATACAGATTCCCTGGAGTGGAGTTACAGGTAGCTAAAGCAACTTATGTGGGTGTTGGGAATTGAGCTTGAATCCTCTGAAAGAGCAGTAAGTGCTCTTAACTACTAAGTCACCTCTCCAGCTTTGAAACATGTATTTTAAAGTGTTTCTCTGCTAATTCTACAACAGCATCCTGGGAAGAACCAGAAGCTTGCAATCCAAAGGGAAAAGTCATTCTGCAGCAAATGTTCTGTGACCTTGGAGAAATTACTTGACCCTTGGGGTCTGTTTTTTCTGTAACAAGAGTTTGGTAAATTTCTCCCTCGAAAGGGCTCCTATGATGCCAGAAGGTACCATTAGGATGCCTCGCATTTTAATCCCCAATATCTCCTCTCGCTTTCTTCCTGCCCTCCTGTGTTGGCTCAGAGGGACAGTCACTGATCAAGCTGTCCTCTGAGCACCGACCAGGGCTCAGAGCCTGATCCTCCTCGGTATCCTAGGGGATTCCATCTCTGCAGTGGACATTGGCCCTTGTGCTGCATCCTGGCTGTGAACTTGTCAAGCTATCAGACTCCTCATTCAGTGCAGAGACCTTGCTTCTTGAAGAGGAAGAACAAGCAGAGAATCAGTGCTCTTGTTCAACCACACTTGACAGAGAACTTGACAGAAGTCTTCCCTCAACCACTGGCTTCCCACCCTTTTCAGATTCTACCTACTTTCCACTGCTTCCTACTCTATTATTCTTTCTAACTGAAATTCTTTGTTCTTTGATACTGAACTGATGTCTGATTACCGTGGGACAGAATGGAGACATTCACTGGCAATACAGTGAATTGTACAGTGACCAGTGTCTCCGTGGGCTCCTGAGGTTGTGCACTGTACCGCCGTCTCTCCAGTGTCAGGGTCTGGCTGAAGAGATATCATTTCCGTGTTATTCTTACCCTCTTGTTACCTTCCCTTACAGTTGTGTGGTTGAAGTTTGGGTGGGGAAGCAATGGAGGCGGCCCTGTGCATTCTGCAGTGTGTTCCCGTCTCTATTTGGATGGCACCAAAGGAGTTTCTGCTATTAGTTTTGCTTTTACTTCTGGCCTCCCTGGGTACCGAGCACACACGTGTGCACAAACATACAGACAAAACACCTGCAGTTGTTTTCGTTTTGTTTTTTTCTAAGGCCATCCACACCTTTATGTTGTATTTTACATTTTTACTGTTGAATTTGTTTTTATGCATTTATTGACCGCCATGAGAGATCATAACTAGAAAAACCATTAGCTTTATATCCTCTTTCATAGTTTGTTTGTTCTTATAAATCTTTATAGCCTTCCTAAAGGACAGTACGACAGATGCCCCAACCATTTATTTCTGATTTATAACTTAGGAACATATCTAAGAGAAATTGTCAGCCTTGATCTACGGGGCTGTATGTGTCACTGGTGTGTTATGTCTAATGATAGAAAACTAGGAACCAAGTTCCTGAAAGTCATTGTTTGTGTCCATTGGAATTCCAGTTATTGGAATCTATATTGGAGTTATGAAAAGATTTCATTGACATGAAAATTTTTTTAGAATTAATTTACTTTTTTTTAAAAGAAACGGGGTTTCTCTGTAGCCCTGACTGTTCTGGAACTCACTCTGTAGACCAAGAACTCAGATCCACCTGCTTCTGCTTCCCAAGTTCTGGGATTAAAGGTGTGTGCCACTACACTGGTAAATGTATTATTTTTTAAAATAGTGTACTATACAGCAGTATTACAGTTACATTTTTATAAAGACAAGCTGTAGCTAGAGAGATGGCTCAGTGGTTAAGATACTGATTGCTCTTACAGAGGACCCAGATTCATTTCCTAGCACTCATATGGTGGCTCCCAACCATCTGTAACTCCAGTTCCAGGGGTCCTGACCTCTGTGGGCACCAAGCATATATGTGGTGTACATACATACATGCATATAAACACATACACATGCTGAGCAGTGGTGGTGCCTGCCTTTAATCCCAGTACTTGGGACAATGAGTTTGGGCAAGCCTGATCTACATAGTGATTTCCAGGACAACTGAAGCTATTACATAAAGAAACCTTGTCTGAAAAAAAAAAAAAAAACGAACAACAGAAAACCATGCACACATAAAATGAGTAAGTCTAATAAAGAAGTTTTGAAGATACACAGGCATACAAAGATGGGTAGCTTGTAGTTATCAAAATATCAGAAGTTATTTCAGTGATAGGATTGTGAACAGCCTTTTAATTGTATGGAATTAACCTTTTCTTATAAAATCATTTTCAAAATTCTTTGGTGGTCAGAATCTTTTGAAATATTTTTATAACAATATTTCTTTCATCTTTGGTGTGTAAAATTGAAATGATTGAGCTATAGGTTCTGTCTCAGTCATTGCATCTGATCTCGGACTCCCTCAGCCCTAACCCAGGCCAGCTCTGATGCAGGACTAGGGATGTTCCTGCTCAGGACTCCTGACATCTGCCAGCCTGCTGTGGTACCTTCATTTTAGTTTGCCAGAAATGGGCGTGCTGAACATTAAAGCGTTTGGCAGAAGCTGCCAGTGGCTCTGGCCAAGATCCTTTCACTGCCGTCTTTCTCTGAGAAGCAGCTCTCTCTGGAATGAGTGGAGCTCAGGGAGGGGAGGGCTCCTTCAGGCAGGCGGCAGGCTGGGGGCTACACTGGCTGAGTTGGTCTTCATGAAGGATGACTTGTGTGCAGGCGTGCTCCTGTCACCCCATGCTGCATCCTTCAAGTCTTCCATGCTCTTTAACTGGTAACCAGGAAACACAGTGGTGGCAGAGGTCCTGGTGTTGTTGGTGATAGTGTATAATTTTATAAGGTGCGGTGTGAGAGTGGAAATGCTTCTTGCTTTGGAGTCAGGCATTCCCACACAGCTGTGAAAGTGAGCACAGGCTTCACCCGCCTGTGAGTCTCTTTGCTCATCTGTGAAGTGGAATGGTCCGTGCCCATCTCACAAGAGTGATCGGAGGATCAGAAGACACATGTGCTTAAATGTGAACAATGTTGATGGTCCTTGATAACCTTCACTCTGTGCTCTGTGGTGCCTGGCCTTGTGATTGTAAAGGAAATGGAATTAACCCTCTCAGTGACCCTAGCACAACATGGCTAGGGTGAGGGAGGAATAGGCCAGGTGCTGTGGAGTAGGACTCTCAGCCAGGAGACCACATCACATAAGAAGTTAGTAAGTTAGTGGGCAGAGCAGACTGGGCTGAGAAATCTTGCCCAAGATTACCTTGGTTTAGTTTTCTGTAGAATGGGTACAATAACTGTCCACTTTATAGGGGTTCTGTGGGATGGTCGAATTTCAATAATGAGTTAACAGAAACAGAAAGATTTTATACAGTAGAAACTCCTGTGTAGCTGCTAGGTGAAAACATGCTAAAGGAGTCAGCAGCATTTCATGTGCCATGTGGATCGTTAACCAGTGTCTGTATGTGGTGAGTACTCAGCAGCAGGAGTTGCTGCTGCTGGTGGTGGTACCATTAATCATCAGTGTTCTAGAGCCTGATAAAGATGAAAATGGTGAGCCTGTAGGTGACCTGTGCCGGGACCTTTTATACTCACCAGCTGCTAGAACGCTAGTAAATACTTTTGTTGATGGATTAGCTTGAAGTCAGAAAGTGGTGATAAAAGCCACAGTAACATAGCCAGCATTTGCATAAAATAATATGCTTATGGCAAGCTTGTATAGCCCTGTTTTTACTTAACTGTTAGCCGAGGAAGGGACCAGCACCTCTCTAGCATCTTGATGGGTGAGGAAAGAGACTTAGAGATGAAATGCCCCTGGCTCATATTCTCCCGTGTTATCAGATTGTGAGCCTGGGTATTCCCCTCCATTTCTCAATCCTTCTACCCTGATAACCTTCACCCTTGGCTGTGTGGTGTTTGCTGACCACTACTCCTGGCCTATGAAGGGCAGCTCCAGGGACCAGAAGCATCTCAGACATTTGTGACTGACTACAGAAGAGGGAGCAACTGCCATTCTTCTAGAATATCCAGCTGTCCCAGGAGTTGTGCTTTTCCAGCTTAAAAAATGTGTAGTTTTTGCTATGGTGAGAGCTTTCCTGCCTGGGACCAATTGCTGCAAGCCCTGTTTAGTTCCTGCTCTTTCAAGCCATGTATTTAGTTCCTAATTCCTGGCTAAGGCCTGTGGTCGGTGAATAAAGATGTCCAGCAGCTGCCATGCTGCTGAGCACACAGATCTGCACACTGCTCGCCCTCAGAGCTTCCTGCCAGTGCTGCCTGCCTTCATCTCAACCCCATTTAGACCTACTAAATCATCTTTTTATTCTTAGGAAGGCATGCATACTTGTTACAGAAAAATTCAAAGACCTTTAATAATTTTTCTGTTAATAAATACTTCCTGACAACTTGATACGCGTCTTAGGTGGGATATGACCAGTACAAACCTAAATAACCTTTTATCTTCCCATCACTAAAAGAATGTTAAGATTTTTGGCATGATATATATGAAATATATATATGAAAGAAATTTAAATGAAATCACCGTATAATGAGGGAGACAGTGCTCCAACTAGACATCATATGCCACCAAGTAAAAGACATTTTATGCCAGTCAGGAGTGGGTTACATCTTGTTGAGTCATTGGCCAAAAAGGTTGCATAGACCAGTCCCCCATCCCCACCCCCCCAAAAAAATTCACAGGTTATTGTTCAGACTGTTGATTACTCTGTATACCCTGATGGTAGGGCCCTATTGCTGAAGACAACTTATGTCATCAAACGTGTAAATTGAGGTGGTGCCCAGCTAGAAGCTTCACCCCTGCCACTAGTCTTCATGGTGCAGGAAAGTACTTGGATTGTCCCTGAAGAGAAAAATTATCACTTTCATCCAACTACAAACCCTGTGACCTACAGCAGAGGCTGCCTGCAAGAATTACTCATGCCGTAGTGACCACACTGTAGGAGTAACTAAACTATTCCCCTTGTTTTGTTTTTGTTTGCTTTTGATTCAAGACCCATTTCATGTGCTGAAAACCCATCCGTGACACTGATAAAGTGGCCGAGAAACTGAGACTAGATAGACCATGGGCCTGGGTGAAACCTACTGTTACTATTCTGCTAAGACTAGGTAGGCCATGGGCCTAGGGTGAAACCTACTGTTACTATTCTGCTAAGACTAGGTAGGCCATGGGCCTAGGGTGAAACCTACTGTTACTATTCTGCTAAAGGATCCTAGCAGTAAAATTGCGCCTACTGACATATTTGCTTGCAATACCCACAGAACAGAGCATTGCTCAGCCCCCATCTAAGAAGTGTCTTGCAGTAGATGATAGTTACTGCAGAGAGCCACACTGGTTAGTGCAGAGAGTGGGGCGCTCAGTCCTTGGAGGGTTGTCTTTATCAGACGAGGAGGGCAGAAAGACTAAGAGACAGAGGTGGTGAGTAACTCCAAGGAGCACAGCAGGCATGTGAGTCACAGAGACTGACAGCATGCATGAGACCTGCACAGGGCCAAACCACACAGTCCAGTGCCAAGAAGAGGGAGTGAGCACAGAGCTTCCCCCCCCCCCCCCCAACCAAGAAGCAGTTGATACTTCTGGAAAAGGGAAAATTGTTTTCTCCAATGGAGTATCACTGGGTATATCAGCCACACTGTAGGGGATGCCCCATGTCCAGGAGTGATTGGCCAGGCAGCACTAAATTGGAGTGGAGGGGTGCACTTTTTCTTTTTGTTTTTTGTCTTATTGGTTTTCTTTTTATTCTTCTCTGTCTTTTTTTAGTTTGTTTTGATTTTTTGTTTTTTCCTTTTTGAGAGAGTGGTAAAGGGAGAGAGAAAGAACATGAAGTTTGGTGGGTAGGGGAAGGAAGATATGAAAAATGTTTAATAAAAGTTAATAAAATGGCAAGTGTCTTAGTTTCTTGGTAGTGGTGTTTTTGTTTGCTTGTTTTGTTTTGAGACAGGATTTCTCTGTATATCCCTGGCTGTCCTGGAACTCTCTTTGTAGATAGACCAGGCTGGTGTTGAACTCACAGAGATCCACCTGCCTCTGGCTCCCAAGTGATGAGATTAAAGGCGTGTGCCACCATGCCCAGCTTAGTTTTTTAAAGTCTGTAATTTTTGTTTAGATGTTTTATAGATTAGTTCATATATATATATATATATATGTTGAATATATATATATATATGAAGTTTCTATATTGAATTATTTTTTTAATTGAAAGATAGCATGAACATGTCTCCAAGATGTAAGAATATCTTGAAGCATTATTCAAACATGCTTTTTAGCCAGGCGGTGGTAGCGCACGCCTTTAATCCCAGCACTCGGGAGGCAGAGGCAGGTGGATCTCTGTGAGTTTGAGGCCAGCCTGGTCTACAAGAGCTAGTTCCAGGACAGGCTCCAAAACCACAGAGAAACCCTGTCTCGAAAATCCAAAACAAACAAACAAAAAAAAAACAAAAAACAAAACAAAAAAACATGCTTTTTATTATTACAAATGTAACCCATGCTAGGGTCTTAATCAAATGTGTTTTCTCTTCCTAGAATTTGACACAACCATTGTGATGCCTGTATGTGTTCATTTGCTCCCCCATACTGAAACTTTAGATTTTCTACTTGTTTTCATTATTCAAAATTAAGTTGGCATGGAGGGGGCCCTGGAGAGTTCGTCCCACAATTCAGAGTGCTTTCTGCTCTTACAGAGGACCCAGGTTCAGTTCCCATCACCCACTTCAGGCAGCTCGTCACCCCTGTAACTCCAGTTCCTAACAATCTGACCAGCTTTATCACCTACGATGCAGTGCACATAAACTCATGCAGGCACACACATATACACATAAATTATAAAAAAAATGTTTAAGCCCATATAGACATCTTTATACCTAGAACTTAAGAACTTGGAGGCTAGGAGCTGAAAAGTTGTCCATTGATGAAGAGCACTCATTGTCCTCCCCAGGTCTGGTTCCTAGCTCCCACATGGTGGTTCATGTTCATGGCGGTTCCTACTCTAGTTTCAGGGAATCTGACACCCAGGTATCAGGCACATACATGTAGACAGACATTCATATAAATAAAATAAAAACTTAAAAAACAACAACTTGGGGCTAAAGAAATGGCTATGTGGTTAAGAGTATTGAGTGTTCTTGCAGAGGACCCAGGTTAGATTCCCAGCTCTCACATGGTGGGCCACAGCCGTCTGTAACTCCAGTTTAGAGGATTTTACACGCTCTTCTGGCCTCTCAGGCACCAGTTACACACATGGTGCACAAACGTACACATAGCCAGAGCACCCATACATAAATAATTAGAATAAGAGAAGAATTTTATGTTCGGGTCATGTTTGCTGGGTATTTTCCCAGTTGAGATATTTGGGGGTTACATAGTATGAGCATTTGTATCAATTTGAATTCTACCTGTGATATGGGAGCTCATTCATTCACTGTGGCATGCAGTTTCTGAATGTTGTAATTAGCAGCTAGAGCAGCAAGTTTTGTTAACAATGACAGCTGAAGGTGTAGCTTGTAATTTGCATTTTTGTGTCTATTGGATTTTCTAGCTCTGGGTCTTACATTCTTTCTATCAGTTCATCTAAGACTTTCTGAAATGGAGTAGCTGAAGTGTAAGGCATTCTAGAGCAGAGGTTCTCAACCTTTGGGCTGTGGTACACAGGGACTTCAGCAACTCTCTCACGGGGTCACATAGCAGATACTTACATCACAACTCCTACCATAGCAAAGTTACAGTTACGACTTAGCAACGAAATAACTTTATGGTTGGGGGTCACAGTCACATGAGGAGCAGCGCTGGGAAGTGTCAGAACCACTGCCCTAGGGGTTTATTAGGCCACAGCTTGGCTGACTTTTCTGTATTGTATAACAGTTCTAAATGTTGGCTTAGAATCAGGTTACTATGTATTAAAGTTTGATATTACGGCTTTCTGACTGTGCACCCTGAATAAATGGTGTGCCTTGTTTTTATCTGAAAAGGGAATAGTCTCATCTCCCTTGCCTGACTGTTGTTGAGAACACATTTCTTAGTGCCCGGGTGGCACTCAGTTCATAGGAACTTTGTGTCCATCATTATTTCTCAGTGAAGTTTGCATGTTTCAGTCACCAGACTTTGCTTTTGTTCTCGCAGATCAGCCAGATGGCCGACGACACAGTCGCAGAGCTGGACAGGCACCTGGCAGCAAAGACCAAAGAACTCCTTGGATGAATCTGGTCACCCCTTAGGTGACAAGCTGATGTCTGCCACTCTCCTGCTCATCCATAGGAGGCTGTCACTGCTGTTCCACCACGGGGGCTCAGACTCACCGAATCTCTTGTTTCCTTAGAATCTGGTGTGGCAATGACCTTGGCTCTGAGGTCACCACAGGACCATTTCCTTCCAGACAGGAATCAGACCCTGCCCTCATTTCCAACTCCTTTGGACTATGTGGGCCTCACTCTGACTGCTAATGAGCAAAACTAAATAAATTGGGAAAATAACAGCCACAGAGGAAAGAGCAGTGTGTTTGCCTCTGGGTTGTCGTCCCACTGCCGCTCCACGAGGACTGAGTTCAGTGTAGCATCGGTCCCACCCTTGGGCAGTCTCCCTGCCCCTGCTCTCGACCCCATTTTGAGCTCACGGGCTCCTCACATATAAACCATCTGTAATGACAAATTTACTGAAGAGAATGACACAGAATAACGCTTGAAGTTGTCCGTGTATTTATGTTGAGTAAATTGGTAGCTGCCCACCTAATGCTTTGCTTTCTGTCATTCCACTCCCTCTGTCAACATTTCTTTGGTAATGAGCTCCATTTGGCCGGGGCCTGTCTTCCTGATAGACAGGTGCTTTGCTGTGACCCACCTCTTTTTTGTGTTTCTGTACACATACACATGCATACGTGCACACATGTGCACACATAAAGGCACATGCCATAGTGCTCATGTAGAGGTCAGACAACTCCCATGAGTCAGTTCTCCTTTCACCTTGTGGGACCTAAGACTAGAACTCAGACTCTCAGGCTTGGCACCAGATGACTTTTCTGCTAACTAGCTCCCCTTAGCATGGCTTTGAGAGTCAAGTTAGTCTCTTTTTCCCCGCCTACAATCAGTTTTTATTTATTCAGTTATAATAAGGCCACCATGAGCTAAGCTATTTTAAAGCATTCTTCCAAGGAAATGAAACATATATGTACCACCTACACTTACAGATAGAGAAGCAAACATGCCTATGTTAAGGTAAGGAATCCCCCCAGACAGTGGCGTAGGAAGTAGTGGGGCTTTTTTCCTTTTCTCTCCTCTCCCCTCCCCTCTCCTCCCTTTCCTCCCTCCCTTCCCCTCCTCTCCTTTTTATTCCCAACTCACAGATATCCTCCTGCCTTTGCCTCCCAAGTGCTTGGATTAAAGACACGGGCCTCTACATTTGGCTAAGGAGCTTTTTCATTTTCATTATCAGCCTCATTCCACAAGTTGTAAAGTTTCTCAAGCAGTGTCACACAGCTAGCAAGCAACAAAGCACGGATAAAAAGTTTCTTCTCTGATTCCAAAGTCTATTCCCACCAGTGATGTCAGGTAAAACCTTACCATTTTCCTGCTGTCCTCATATGCTCGTCATGAACGCTCCTGTAACACGTGTGCAGCTTTCCCCACATACCAACCAGGTGTCTTGTACTGACTCAGTTCTGAGATGTGACTACTGTAGATAGGTTCTGCACTCAGCCCAGAAAAAGCCCCATTCCTGATGATAGTCACAAGTTGGGCTCCCAGCCCCTTCTGTGATCTGGGTAGTGAGCCAGGATGTTGTGGTTTACTGTCTTTGAAAGCATGCTATGAAGGGTCCAGGTGAGGAGGATGGGGCAAGATGCTGCCAAGTGTGACTCCACTGCCACCGGCCGTCTTGTAAGGGTCTAGTGGGCACCAGCAGTTTGCTGGGTGCAGCTGTGCTGAGCTGGAAGGTTTGTTTCAGTTCTAGGTGATTGTGACCTGGCCAGACTGGCCTGTGTTATGATTGTTTGTCACTTTGGGAGACAAGCCTCACCCACTCCCTCCCCCATCCGCTGAGGCAGGCTGATCTTCAGCTTCCAGCCTGAGCTTGCTGTCTTTTCCATCTTCCTCTAGGAGAGGCAGCTTTGCTTCTGCCTCTCTCCCCACTTCTCTGCTCCCCCCTTCTCTGTCTCTCTGCCCTCTTCTTCTTCCCCCTCTCTCTGTCCTCTTTTCTGTCTTCCCTTTCTCTCTCCTCTCTTCCCCCGCCTTCTCCCCTTTTTCCTTCCCATTCCATAACTCAACTAATAAATATCCAATTCTATTCTGTATAGTGTGTCCGTGCCTCCTACCCACTGCCTGCTCACATGGCTGGGCTCAGTGGGACCAGCCCTCCGCAGCATGGCTGGGCCCTCCCCAGGGCTGGCAGCTTTCGGGACCCACTGCTCGAGACCTGCAGCAAAAATCATAGCAGCCTGTGCTAGTAATGAGCTTCCTGCTGCTGCCTCTGCCCACATTGGTGGGACCTGCTGTGAAACAGCCGGTGAGAATTTAAGGTTAGGATTGGGCCAAGGATGGAAGGAGCTAACGTGGCCTCCTACCTGGCCTCCCTACTCAAAGCCAGAGATGAGTGGGAAGTTAGCCAGGGGAGCAGGTCAGGCCATGCAGAGGCTGCAGCTTGCAGAGCTCTAGCTCCGTGAATGGCAGAGTTCTCACTGCAAATGTGCTGCTCAAAGATGCAGGATTTTTTAATAAACAGAGGAAATGATAAATTATGTTGTAACTCCACTCCAAAGGCATTTGGTTCTTAACAGCCAAATCCTCTGTAGTCTTTAAATAAACAAAACTTATTTGGTGAACAGACGGGGGTAGGGGGGGATGAAAGATTTTCAGTACTTGGGTTCCACATGTCAACAATTTCTCTCCTGTGTGTATGTTGGCCAAAGCCATATATCATGATAAATGAATAAAGGAAAGCCTGAGCCCAGGGCGGTGAGACAGCTCAGCAAATGGTTTTCAGCTGATTGCTCTATTTCAGTTGACATTTATCAAAGAAGCTCTGCTGTCCTGTGTGTTAGGGATGTGTTGGTGGCAAGGACCTGATTGGGTATGCTGAGATACCAGCATATAGGAGCTGGTAACTTGTCCCCTTCTCCTGTGACAGTCTACCTCAAGAGCCAACTGGGCATGGAAATTCTCATGCTAGCAGAATTAACCACCTTCTATGTTCAGTTTGGTGACTCCCAAAGTCCCATGAAAGGCTTGGTTTTAATCTGCTTAAAAATCTCCCATTTGGGGGCTGAAGAGATGGCTCAGCGGTTAAGAGCATTGCCTGCTCTTCCAAAGGTCCTGAGTTCAATTCCCAGCAACCACATGGTGGCTCACAACCATCTGTAATGAGGCCTGCAGGAAGAATACTGTATACATAATAAACAAATATTTTTTTTAAAAAAATCTCCCATTTGGTGTATGTGTGTGCACACAAGTGTGCAGATCTCATAAAAGAAGCATAAAAATTTGAAAATGGCATTTCTCAGGACTGGGGAGATGGTTTGGCGGTAAGAGAGCTTTGCTCTGACTCCTCAGCACCCACAGAAAAAGCCAGTTATGGAAGTCTGTGCATTGGGTGGACAGGCAGGTGGACCCCAGAGAGATAGGTGGCTCCAGGCTCTCACTCCAGCCCCACTAAAGTCAAAATAGTGAGACAACCTGTCCCGGGAGAATCAGACAAGAGATGGGGTGACTCTGGACACCCTGTTCTGCCTTGTGCGTGTGCACACTTGTCTGCGTGCACCCACCACCACCACATACAGAAATTTTAAAAATAATTCCTCACAACTCTCCGGTCTTAGCTCCACTTGAAGGGAAGTGTGAAAAGAGCTGTTGTGTTCATTTTCTGCAGTTCACTTTTCTTAACCCTAAAACTGCCGCAGGCATCTGTCAGTGTGGGCATACCGACAGCCCCTTCCCCCCTGCACTACTGTTATTTATTTGGCTATTAACCCATGATATATTTTTTTAATTATCCAGTACATTGGAGGTTTTTACTTAAAGTTTTTTTTTCCTTTTTGTTGATTAAAGATCACTATTCACCAGATTTGAAGGCTTATGAGTGTAACCTGACTCTTGAGAGGCTGAGACAAGAAGATCACCTTGAATTTCAGGCCAGCCTGGTCTACAGTCCCTTCTTTTAGAAAGAGTGGGTGCAATGACTCAGCAAGTAAAAGCCCTGAGTTTGATCCTAGGGACCTACACAGTGGAAGCAGAGAACGGACTCCCTCAGCTTGTCCTCTGACCTCCCTATGTATGCCTTGATGCACACAGTAAAGAAGTATTAAACTTTTGTTTTAAAAAAGGACCCATATCCTCAGATGATCTGGTACATTTTGCTCCTCATCTTGTAGCTACTGATATGTTTGTTGAATGTCCACTGTGAACTAGGCAACATGATAGACCTTAGCCTGCATCACTCCACTGACCCTTGTTGATGTAGGCTCTGCTGTTGTGTGTGTGTGTGTGTGTGTGTGTGTGTGTGTGTGTGCGTGAGAGAGAGAGAGAGAGAGAGAGAGAGAGAGAGAGAGAGAGAGAGACCGCCCACAGTCATACAGCCCAGCAAGGGCTGGAGTGAAGTGTCAGTCCCAGATAAAACTCCGAAGCAGGTCTTTAATCCATGTGCCTCATGGACAATTATTCCCAATGTGTGTGGTGCTACCATTGGCATAGACTGATGGGAAGAAGCACCTTGCTGAATAAAGCAGCTAGTCAACCCTGATGAAAGACCATCTAAGATAGCATCTGTAGGCAACACCCAAGAAAATGGTAGGATCTCAAATCTACACCCCATATGTTGGCATCTTCTCTAGAACATTTGGAGAACCTGGGGCGAGCAAGATGACAACCACACAGTCAATAGCAGTATAGTAGTAGTGGCGGCAGCAGGTGCCAGGCTCGCAGGGAGCCATTTGTTTTGCAGAGTGTATCTGTGTTGCATCTTTACCCTCTGCGAGCCATGAAGCCCTGCTCTGCTCTTAGGAAAGAGACTTGCCATGAAGGCTAATGCTCCTGAAGCCCCATCTAATGCTCTCTCTGCTCTATTGGAGCTTAGCTTCCATGGTGCACAGCTTAGGAGCAGACTCCACATTGAAGACAACATTGATTTACACGCAGGAAATGGAGTTTAGAAATGGTGTTTTTTAAGCTGAGTGTGGTGGCACACGCCTTTAATCCCATCACTCAGGAGGCAAAGGCAGGCGGATCTCTCTGAGTTTGAGACCAGCCTGGTCTGCAGAGCAGACTACACAGAGAAACTATCTTGGTGAAAAGAGAAGAAGAAATGGTGTTTATTTCTGGAGTCTGAATTTTTGGCCTTTTAGTGAGTCTTAGACCAGAGTGGTCTGTCGGCCTTGTTAACAGCATTTCTTGGTCTCCATGCAGCTGCTCTGTCTGGTGCTGAGGCTGAGCTGGCGTCCAGGCCAAGATCACTTCATGTTTTGGGTCACCCCCGTGGAGTATGTGCTTTGGTTGGTTTCTTTCTTTTGCTGTACTTTGTGGTGTTCTCACTCTCTGTTTTTCCATGTTTAGAAAGCATTTCAGAGTCCCAGTTTGCAATGAGCTTCCTTTTAGCGCCGCTCTTTCCTTATCCTGAGCCATCCTGAAACTCGCACCTTCCCCTTTCTCTTGAATTGTGACGAGAAGCTCACAGTGTTAGCCTCTCAGCTATTTCTAAGTGCACAGTGGTGTTGAGTATATTTTGCATTATTTTCTAACTGATCTCTGGGACTCCTCACCTCAAAAAACCAAAACCCTACACCCACCAAATAAACACTCCCGGTCCCCCTTCCCAGCCCCTGGGGCCACTACTGTCCCTTTTCTGAGTTGGAGCTCTCTGGGCTCCTCCTACAGAGACTGACACAGAACCTGTCTGTGACTGGTTTACTTCACTTGGGTTAGGGTCCTTAATATCCATATTACATCATGTGTCAGAATTTTTCATTTTCAAGAATAAAGAATATTCTTCTGCAGGGCAGTAGTGGTACACACCTCTAATCCCAGCACTTGGGAAGCAGAGGCAC